ACTTCGACCCTCCCCGCTCCCACCATACCCCAACATCCCTCCCCCACACCACTCTCCTCCCTTCCCATCCCGCCCCATCACCTTTTCGCTCTCTCTCTCTTACTCACGCGCTCTCCCTGTCTGCTCTAGCATGGCACTCAACCTCTCACCCTTCACCTTTGCTCCCGCGGCTACCACCAACTCCCCTCCTCTCCAACACCCCAGCAACATACGTGCCAAATAAGGAAGTCACGCATGTCAGATTCTGCGAAAATGACGTAGAACAAACCGAGGAAAGATCCGAGGGGATATAAAACCAGCAGCTCGCTGCTAGATCCTCACCAGACTCTTCGTGTTAGCTAAGCGAAGGAGCCCATACCAACGAACTTTGTTCACTTTCCAACCTTCCAGGTCCGTTACTCACACACAAACTCAATATGTGCGACGACGAGGTTGCTGCTCTTGTTGTGGACAATGGCTCCGGCATGTGCAAGGCCGGCTTCGCCGGTGACGACGCTCCCAGGGCCGTCTTCCCCTCCATCGTCGGACGCCCCAGGCATCAGGTAAGGGACAAACACTTGGAAGAATTGTTACACTTTGATTTACTGAAAGCCAATCCATTCAATAAACAATTGATACTACTTTAGTGTACTGAAAACCAATCCATAAACCAATAGTTACAACTGATTTTACTTTAGTCTATTGAATCCCTACCCATTCAAACAACATTGGATACCACTTTTGTTTACTGAAAACTAATTCATGCAAACCAATTCGTAATTACCAATTCAAGAAAATGAATTCACCTACCAACAATGTCATTGATTCAGCTATTTCATACTGAAAAGCAATTCACCCACCAACAATTGATACCACTGTAGCTTACTGCAAACCAATTCACTCTTTAACAGCTGATTCAGCTATTTCATTGGTCTTTGGATAGCAATATATCAAACAAAAATTGATTTTGCTGTCTCATATTATACGTTGATCTTCGAATAACATTTTCTCCACCAATTGATTCAGATATTTCATACTGGATAGCAGCCCATCAACCAACAGTTGATCCAGCTATTGCATTGATATTTGGATCTAGATCTAAGTCCAAACAATAGAAAACACACTACAAATCTAGAATCTAAACCTTGAATCTAGATCTATATAATCTCGATGCATCCTATTCTGTACTGGCTCACTCAAAGCTTTGGAAAACATGAACAGAGCACTGAGTTAAAGTAAAACGATAAGATTCAATACAATAGATGACAGAAAAATCCCAGATCCATACCTTAATTGAACCTAGTTTAGTGGCATGAAGTAGACAAACCAAAAGAAAAGAAAATGCCCTAACTGCAAGGCTGTCATACCATTTAGATCTAGTCAGTAAAATAATGTAAATGATATAAGCTTAGATCTATTAGAGCTAGATCGAGTCTGGATCTCTTTTCAGGCTTGAAACAAAGTGTATCTCATCTTGAGGCAGATTGTTAGCCTATACCAAGTCTATCTAATCCTGAACTCTTACTTCAGGATCCGTTCTCTCTTGCTTTTGATCTAGAAATTGTTTTAACCACACCAGATCTAGATGTAGATGTAGATCTAAATCTGTATTATAATCTTTATCAAGACTGCAAGCCAACCTGTGGTGGCTGTTGTCCATAATATCCCAAAATTTCTGGTCAGGATTCCTTTACGAGATGAGCTCTCTTGTTTTAACTCCCCCAAACGAAGTATTCCCCCTTTTGTTCCATATCTCGAAAAGAACTAGATCTATCTTCAAAGGTAAATGTGTCCCGCAAAGCTTTGTAAACTCTTCAATACTGTGATTTGTAATGGAATCTTCTCAACGCAATACAGGTGAAAATTATGACCTTTATTTGCTTACAAAAAACTACGTATCTTCGTTTGTTTCGTGCGACCCAACTATTCATTTTAGGCCTTATGCTTTGCGTTACTTGAAACCATTCTTCTTCATTTCTCCTTTCTCCATCTCCAGTTTTTCCCCTTTATTTCTCCTTGAAGCAAAACAAGTCTAGATTCTAGATCTAGTTTCCCCTGCTTTCTCAAAATTTCCCATCTTTTCCTCAAACTTATCAATCTCTTCTTCAAACTTCCCCATCTCTTCTTTCATTCTCCCCCTCTCTCCGCCCCCCCCCCTCTCGCTTAGCTACATTCTTCTCCCGAGCCTTCTGTGTGGCGGGAGGCATTCTTTCCTATCATTTTACCTGTTTTCACTGCCTGCCTCAAATTCATTCTTTTTACTTGCTCTTTTTACAGAAATTGTATGTTTTTAATATTATAATAATTTTTCTTTTTCACAATGAAAGATCTGTGCTCCTAGATCTAGATCTATATTTTCACAAAGCCGGGACTCATCAGTTGTTGCATTCGTTTTTCTGGAAAATTAACATCGCTGCATTGGATATTGCTGATACGGCTAGAAAAAAAGTGTACTATGCACGTGGAGTAACATTGAATCGGAGCCAAAAACCGCAGGATTCTTCTGGAACTGGTCCCAGAATTGTGAGAAAATTATGGGAAAAAAAAAGAAAAATCAAAATGGCGGCGCCCATGAATGAACGTACTCGGCGGCGTGGTGACGTCACAGGCGCAGCGCGCGTGCGCCCTCCCTCTCGCGGTGACGCGAACCCGACCGACGCCATCTTGAGGTGGACTTATATGGAAGCAAGGAGAGATCTCCCGCTCCTGAGTGGTTCTCTCCCCTTGACCCGCTGATGTCATCACCGAGGCGTGTGGGATTCCTCGCCCCGGAGATTCTAAATATAGACATAGGCGGCTGGCACTCCTTTGTCGCGCGGTTTCCCATGTGCATTCCTTAAGGCTAGACAGTTTTCCTCCCTTGCAGTCTAGCTTTAGACTTTTATTTCCTTTTTTCACAACGGTTAAGAAAAACATTCTCAGCTACCCCGCGGCTTTGGGAACGGGTCCGGTTCCACTTACGTTTCCCATCCTAAGCATTTCAAGATTTACCCCTTACGTAAAACGGAGAAACAGATTTCAGCTCTGTTAAAATAATTCACCTCATGCCCCGTAATTTGAGATTGCGTAACATTTCCCTTTTTGTCTAGATCTTGAGGAAAAGATTACTTGGCATTTTGTAATTGAATCATTTGATTTTTGTTCCTTAAAGCTGAACGAATAAGATTTATTAACAGCTGCGAACGTAATTACTCCAGTTTTTACTTTTGTAAAAGATCGTGTGCATTATTATAGTTATTATTCCAACCCGCCTAAAATCTTAAATGCAGTGCATTCTGTTTGTAACATTTCAAATCTCACAACAAGCTTAATTGGTTCGAAAGCGCCTTAAAAGAACGATGAAAGCACACGACCCAAGTTGTAACCTCCTTCCCACGAGTTGGGTTTTTTTTTCCTCTCTTCGCGCTCGCTCGCTCCCTCTCCTCCCAAAGTGCCTCGAGTTTCAAACCAAACATGGCTTTGCTCGACGACCTGAATCCAAAGAACATTCTTGTGCCATGCGCACCACGCCCCACATCCCCCGCCCCTTCGACTCTGCTTCTCGTTCAGGCAACGACGAAACGTAGAGGTAGTAATGTAAAAATAAAAAGAAGAAGTTTTCGCTTCCCTGCCCGCGCATGCTCACAACAGGCGATGTCAGACTACGCCGAGGCGCGTCCGGATTCAGGCGTGCGTAGCCTATCCCCCCCCCCCCAAATCTGTTCTCGACACAACTTCTGCGTTATGGCATCCCACACACCTAAACGCTCACGCCAATAGATCTAATCTCTGGGTTTCTGAGCGTCATGCCCCACGCCCTCCCCCCTCCATCATCTTTTCCACATTACTACAAGCCGTGCAGCTCACCGCTCACGCGCTCACTACATACAAAGATCCTCGCTGTTTGGCGAATGCCGAGAGGGAGGAAGAAATCTTACAACATTCGCCAACATCATTAATTAGTTGGACAAGACGCGAACGTGCAGAAGCACGCTCTCCGCGGTATACCAGCACAGATGGCGTATTCATCGCCACCCCAGAATGAAGACGGATATTACGATGGCGTTAATGAAATGAGTACGTTCTTGATACCACTGATGAGTTCTGGCTTCTCATATTTTTCTCTTTATCCCAGTAACGTTTTTTTTTCTTCTCTCGTTTCATTTCTTCTTTTCTCTGATTTTTTCCTCTTTCTTTTTCCGTTTCTTTCTCTTTCTCCCGTCTTTAATTTGACAGTCGCGTTTATTTGTTCTCCTTTTCCACCCTCTTTCCTTCCCTCTCTCTACACCTTTTTCTCCTTCGTTATCTCTTCGTCTTTCTCTTCATCTCTCTCCGTCTCTTTCTGTTTGTCTCTTTTCTCTGTCCGTATATTTTTCCCCTTCTCTCTCTCATTTGTCGTATTTCCTTTCTTTCCCACATGTAATTACCGTTATTTTTTTAAAATCATATCCTCCTCTTCCTCATTAAATTGACCACTAGATCTAACCACACGCCATCTCTGTCTCCCTCCTCCCCCAGGGTGTCATGGTTGGTATGGGCCAGAAGGACAGCTACGTCGGTGATGAGGCTCAGTCCAAGAGAGGTATCCTCACCCTGAAGTACCCCATCGAGCACGGCATCGTCACCAACTGGGATGACATGGAGAAGATCTGGCATCACACCTTCTACAATGAGCTGCGTGTTGCCCCCGAGGAGCACCCCGTCCTGCTCACTGAGGCCCCCCTCAACCCCAAGGCCAACAGGTGAGCCCGCGGGGACTTTGTGGGCATTTGCACAGTGGACATTTGTCTTTTGTGGGCATTTACACACTGGACAATCATTGTCCTTTGTGGGCATTTACACAGTGGACATTTGTCCTTTGTGGGCATTTACACAGTGGACATTTGTCCTTTGTGGGCATTTACACAGTGGACATTTGTCCTTTGTGGACATTTACACAGTGGACATGTTTCCCTTTGTTTGTAGTCATTTACGCTGTAAACCAATTCATGAAAAACTAATTCACGAAAACCAATCCACCTATCAACAATGCTATTGATTCAGCTATTTCATGCTGAAAAGTAATTCACCAATGTTTGGATTGTACGAGAAAAACGCCTTTCTCGACACGACACAAACCTTTTCGCTCTCTTCAATTCTGTTTTTTTTTTTCTGGTCGTTTTGAGATCGATATTTCTGTCGTAACCCTTTTCTTCTCTGACGACACACTTCCAGTCTCCTTTTAAAAATTTTCTATATCTCGTTCTCTCCTTCTCATTCGCAATCTCTTTCTCTCTCCCCCCTTCTCTCTCTCTCTCTCTCTCTCTCTCTCTCTCTCTCTCTGTGTCTCTGTTTCTCTCTGTCTGTCTGTCTCTCTCTCTGTCTCTGTGTGTTTCTGTCTCTCTCGTTTTCTCTTATTCGCTCTCTTCCTCCCTTTCAACTCTTCATTTCGTTCTTTCAATATCTCCCTCCCTCCCCTCTTCCCGCTCTCTCAATCTCTCTCACTCTCATTTTCCCCCTTTGTCTCCCTCTATTTCCCTCTTTGTCAATCTCTCCTCCACCCCTCTAACCGGCCACGTATCTCTATCTCCCCCCACCCAGAGAGAAGATGACCCAGATCATGTTCGAGACCTTCAACGCCCCCGCCATGTACGTTGCCATCCAGGCCGTGCTCTCCCTGTACGCCTCCGGACGTACCACAGGTAAATACACTGGACTTAGGAGATTTCTCGATATAATTTCTCTCTCTCTTTCTTTCTCTCTCTCTCTCTCTCTCCCTCTCCCTCTCTCTCTC